TTAATTTTTGCAACTGATTAAGTCAGAAACCATAAAAAATATTTTCGCCGTATTTTTCGCGTAATTGAGCGACTAAATCAGTCGCAATTTGGAGCCAATAGTTAAAAAAAAATTAACATATATTTTTAATAAAATTTCCGACCGAATCAGTTGAAAATTGCGACTGAATTAAATAGGTCAGAATTATTCAGTCGCAAATTTGCTGTTTTTTATTAGTGTAACTTCAGTAGATGCAGTATCCTTTACAGAAAAGGGGAAGGGTTTAAAGCACTTCCTAACAAAGGCAACTTCATATCCAAGGTTCAAACTTGATCATAAGATGAAGGAATACTTACTACTCTATCACGACCTTTATTGGTTTCTTACGTTCTTATAATTGAGTCATATCCGCCAAAGACACGTACAAATTGCTGTATGTTTTTGCGAACAAGACAATAATGTAAGACGCCTGAAGTTTTGATCACCTTATTCTCAGACTGGATTACTTTCCTGCACACTTTATTTTATATTTAAGAATTTTCGTGTAACAATTAAGTCCAACAAAAATGAATGCTAATGGTCATGGGAGTGACTTCGTTTATGCTAAAGGGTATTCTAGGCAGTCACGTACAGATTTAGGAATTTGAAAATGCCAAAGTGTTCTCAACTTGTAGCATTTTAAGAACCTTTTCGCCACTATATATATATATATATATAACTCCGCTCCTCAGCGCACTTCAGTTGCAAAGACTTTCTCCTTAGGCGCATGTCTCAGCAACACAAAACGAGGGTTTCCATTGGTATTGGACTTGACCAAATATCTCACGACACGAGCTGATGATAGCCATGCAGCACCTATATGAAAGTCAGTACCATCCTGTTAAGAACATATTTCCTTGTTCATATGTCAAGGGCTAGTAAGGTTTTGCGTGTTGTATACAATTAAACCGTATGCTCCATCGCTTGTGCAGGCCCCCTTATATGTGTGTGTGTAAAAAACAGTAAAAGGTTATTGATCACCCTTCAGCCAACGTAGCTCCACCATTGATTCTAGAGGATATTATTTGAAACCCATCTACACAATACGTCGTTTGGTAGGAGCAAACAAATTACTCGTAAACCTTAAAGAGGAAACGACACAGTTCTACTTGAAATATGCCATTGTTACACATCTACTCTAGCCAATGATAAAAAAAACTCTACGTTACTGTTTTAGTATTTGTGTTAAGGATAGAGCAGTAAATTTTAATGGGGAAGATATATGAGTGGCTCGTACCAAACAGAAAGAGGGCAACAGCCCATGTTCCATCACGTTTGCTTTCTGTTTTTTCTTGTAACTTTTCTGCACCATAGAAGATGTGACATGATCTGCAATATATAATATATAGACACATGCTCATTTTCGCAAGCCTCGATATGCACTTGGGGTTGTTTGGTAGGGAAACTTTAGCTTTCAAAGAAATAGGCTGATTTGTCTTGCATTTTGTTCACCAAGAAACCACAAGATATAATCATTTGTATCGCTACTTCGAAGGATAACAACATAGTTGCCTAACCTTTAGTCTTATCTTATCCCCACATGATGATGATGATCACATTTGGCTGTGTTAAGTGTAACATACCGTACATTTGGATTAGGTGTGGACATATTAAATGGGTATTAGTTTGATATTTTAGACATATGAAGTCCTAGAGGGATGAGTATGGGTAAAAATAGTTGTTTTGGAATCAAGACGGAGAGTGAGGTGCATAAGATTTGACAAAATCGACTAAGTTTGCAGAAGGTCCGTCTTTCATCAGGGTTTAGTGAGAATATGTAAGGAATTTGCGAAAACGCATAGCATTAAAGTTGTAGGCCTTTGAAATAGCTTTCCAACGATATATTATGGATCCCAAACGGAGCTCTGTGCAAAACGTCATGCCCGTTTTACAGAACAGTGTGTAATCACCACGTTCGGCCGCGTTTGACCGCAACCGCGGTCGTGAGGCAGTGCTCCAGCTATTTACCGCGGTCGGGACCGCGGTCGGGCCTACTAGGACGCGGTGGCCGACTTGGGAAGTCATTTTTTTATCCCTATTTCGTCCCCCACAGGTAAGTTCTAATGGTAATTCTAAGCTAATTTCAATTTCCCAACATCTTATTAACATGGGGTAAACCCTCCAAATCATTAGATATTCGATTGGGACATCATTGTTGAGAGAAGAAACCCTAGAACTCGAATTCAAGAAGATTGAACGTCAAAAAGGTAATATCTTCACCCTCTAATTGATTCTATCATTGAATTAATGATTATAAACCCTAGTTCATGAGATATGAGTTGATGGGTTTGATAGAAAAGCATGAACGATTATAGGTTTGGGGTGTTGATTGTTGATTATTGGTTAAGGGTGTTGTTTACCTTATGGGTGATAAAAAATAATGTTGATTATAACCATTTGAGACTTTAGAATTTATCTAGGAACAAGAGAATGGGTTATTGGGTGTAGAGACACCATTAATAAGGACTATGAAGCTTTATTTTCACCAAGTGTTTGATAAGATGCTTAAGTGACCAAAACATGAGAATTATTGCTAATATGGAATCCCTTTGACTTGTATTGATATAGATTAAAGTTGAAAGGGTTGGCGAACGTTATATTATGCTCAAGAGCAGGAAGTTAAGGTATGTGAGGCTAACTCTCTATGTTTGGGAATGTTAATGATTCTCCCTACACTACGTTTCTTTTACCACGTTACTAATTGCCTCAAAAATATAGTTAAGCCTAGTTCCTTGAATCGTTGCAGAACTTCTATTCTCTAGCTTTGTAACTCGTTCACCGCTTTCATTCTGAACATTGTGAGCTCAGTGCGTATTCAATATAGACTTGGGTTTGATGCCCCCGAGTCTTAGTATAGATTACTCAGTATGCCATAAATAGTTGAAGTTTCAGTGTTCATAATCAGTTCAAGAATACATGTCTTAGTTTAGTCCTATTCAGTATTCCAGTATTATGTAACTTAGTGTGATCCAGTATTCTAGTATCATGTAACTCAATATGATTCAGTATTTCACTATCATGTATTGCAGTTTGATTCTCAGTTCCTGAATGTTGAACACCTGTATTTGGGCTTGAGACCGTAGTTTATGCTTTATGCATGTTTGGGCCTGAGGCCGTAGTTTATGCTTTATATATTTTTGGGCTTGAGGCCGTAGTTATGTATACGTATACATGGGCCTGAGGTCGTAGCTTGTGCACATATATATTGGGCCCGAGGTCCTAGCTTATTCAGATAAACAGGTTGTTCATCATTCAGAAGAAGGAGTATTCATATCCTTACTTCCTTTGTTCAGTTCAATTATCAGTTATCATTTCAGTTATCAGTTATCAGTTCAGTTCATTTCAGTTATCAGTTATCAGTTATCATTTCAATTATCAGCTGTCAGTTTCAGTTTCAATAGTTATCATTTCAGTTATCAACTATCAATTCTCGGTTATTAGTTTAGTTTCAGTTTCAGCATTTATAATTCTTTCTTTCAGTTGCTTTACATACCAATGCAATTCAAATGTACTGACGTCCCTTTTGCCCGAGGCCTGCATCTCATGATGCAGGTAATGATTTACAGGCTGTCGATTCAGAGCACTAGGATTCTCGTACCAGCTATTTGGTGATCCCCAGTTCTTTCGGGGCATTATCATTACCTTACAGTCTTTAGTATTTTCAGACAGTCAGTATTTTCAGTGCTTCATTAGAGGCTTCATAGACTAGAGTAACAGTTAGACAGAGTCACAAGCTTTTCATGTTAAGCAATGTTGGCATACAAATATGTTTCAGAATTGTATTAGTATTTCCACACTTTGATATTTTTATCATTCAGACTTTCAGTATATCAGCATGTGTTAGTTTATCTTCCGCATTCAGTATGTTATGATATCACATGTTGATTCAGCCAGCCAGTTGGTTCGCTCGGTCACATGTAGTCAGATACCGAGTGCCGTATTACGTCCAGGCCCAGGTTCGGGGCGTGACATTAAGGTTGCAAAAGAACCATAATTGTATTCTTTAGTAACCAACCAATAGATCAAAATTGAAAAAGGGATCCATCTTCGGTGGCCACACCCATACGTCAAAGCATGTATTCTACAAGAAGCTCATAGGCCTCATAAATTAAGTGAAGTTTTTCAATCCCCCACTAGCTAAAAACACGATTTAAGTTGTGTCGCTCACAGTGTAATGAAATTTTTACAATATCATTGTAATTTAATCTACTGTAAAAGTTATTTGCCATAAAGTTTAAATTACTAGTTTCACTTGTTGTGGGTAATTACATATAACTTTATCTTTCAAGTGATCCAATAGAAGAAAGAAAAAAGAATTTTACGTTGTGATACATAGAAGTTAAACTCCTAGAGAAAGTGTCAATGTTATTCAGTGGAGAATAGGAAATAGAGGGTGTTTGGCTAAGCTTATAAGTTGGTCAAACTAGCTTATCTACGCGTTTGGTAAAGTTAAAAGTATTTATAAGTCAAAAAAAAGCCATAAGCTGGTCACCAATTTGGATGCAATGTGAATGCAACATAAGAAGAATTCAGAAAGAGAGGGAGACACAGTCTAAGTGTGCGTTTATAGAGACTTTGCATTTTGTTGTATAAAGTTCATGACATTTGGCTTCTAATAATATTATTTTTCTTTACTTTTTTTTTCAACCAAAGAACGAGAGTCTTGTTTTAAAATGAAACACCGCTACCAATTTGGTTTAATTTGTTCTCTGATGTAGTTTATTTTCTTCTTTTTAACTTGAAGCAGAAAAATCATTTTCATGAATTACGATTATAAGTTTGGTTAATAAAATATAACTTTAAAAAGTAATACCAAAAGCTACACACTGTACAAACCAAAACCGAACAGAGGAAAAAAGAAAAGAACCATACCGTACAACATTTTTAAAACCATAAACCGAAAATACCGAATCAAAATCTTTCAACACCGTACCAAACTGCCCGATGAACACCCCTAAAATATAAGGTTATCTCCCAAAGAATCATGAAAAAATGATCAAGAAGCTATATTTCACTAGACCCTAAAAAGAGAAAATACCCGCTCACGTGGTTAAACTTGGATTTAAATCTAGAATATAAGTCAGTTGCTGTTCAAAGAATACACTGGAATAAATAAAATTACAAACTCTTTGTTACCCCATGTGAGCTTAGCTCCAAGCAGAGGGGACTCGTTACAGGTGAACAAGGCATCAGAAACTGAACGATGAATATATTTGACTCACAGGGGAAGAATAAAGAATTAGGTCAGATCGCACGGAGACAAGAAAATTGCTGCACAGAAGAGCTCATTGGTCACAACCAAATTATAGAAAATGGTGACCAGTCTGTCGCACAGAAGATGAGCTTGATGAGTAGATCAACTGTACTATAGCTCTCACCGATGCTTCATTCACTTAGTTTACAGCTGCGAATGTATGGATGGTCAAACTTTATATACTTGGTCCAGTATGACCTGTACTTTGTCATTGCCAACTCTAGCCATGGTTTCATGTTACCATTGTAATGTATCACAGCTGCATTCTCAATTTCTGACCGGTCAATGCTTGGATTGTATCCCAAACCTAGCACATGCCACGACTTCTCTAGTGGATGTGTAAGCCCATAAAATGTGATCAGCCCTGGAGGTAGAGTTCCCAGCTTCCAGAGGACCCTGTCTTCATTCTAATGCAAACGCAGAAGAAAGAACCAATATTCAACTTAGTAAGAACTCAAATATCATGTACAATACTAAATTAGGTTAAATATTGTGTCACCAATGTCCCAATTTTTCTTTTGGTCTTTTGGGAATAAATATCTACATGGGTGTAAAAACATTTTTGGAAGGAGAAACACCACGATGTAGTCCATACGCTACTAGCTTAGGTCCATATGTTACTTTACATATTTAACTTAAAAAATAGAAATGCATAGATGACGACATCCTATAATCACATATCCTGATGCTAAGTAAAGGTTTTACTTCCATTTGATACCATGCGGGTAAGAAAACAGTTAGAACCAAAATAGAGAAATAACAAAGAGAAAATAAGAGTGATGGAAAGGCACAAGAATCCTCACCATGTTTTGCCACTTGTGATAAATGCCAGTTATATCTCTCTTCTTCCACTCCTTAAGATCAAACATGTTCATCCCATATGCCCACCCACAGGCATTTGGATCAAAGTTTCTAGCAATATGAGGATTTGAGAAGTTTAGGTACTTGTCAAAACGGTGAAAACTCTGACCACAGGTTTCAACTGCACCATTCACTTTCCCATGAAGGTCAACTGACCACAATCCTGTCAAGTCTTTCTGAACAACAATGTCATCATCAAGAAAAAGGATCTTATTCAATTTTGGATAAACCTGAGGGAGATAAAACCTTAGGTGATTGAGCATGGAAAGATATTTGGGGTTCCGGTACTTCAAATTAGAAGAACCAGCAGATAGGGTGTTGGGATGAGCTGCCTTGAAATAGTACTCCTTCATAGCAGCAGATTCCAGCTGCCGCAGAACAGGACAATATGAAGAATTAAGCCACTTGAACTCATCAACATTTTCAACATGGATTGTAGCTTTTCCAGGAGGATTCAACAAAAACCACATGTTCATAGCTCCAAAGTTCAATTTATCAGTGACTAGATGAAATACGTGTTTCTCTGGTTCCTGCAAAATATCAAGTCGCATTCTTCAACAACCTACTAGAAACATCAAACATAGTGCTAATTTTGTTAAAGCCAAGATGATAGGTGATAAAGTACAGAAACGTGCAAGGCAGCAAAAGATATCCAAGGGTACCCCAAGTATAACATGCAATTTTTTTATGTTTGTGATTGTTATCATGGATCGGATATAGTGATAGTGCACCAGCAAGTAACATGTCAGAAAATAGAATAGAGTTTCTCAAACATCCAAAAATGTATAAAGGCAAATGTGGACGATGGTCTCCAAAATATCTAACAGAATCCCTCACCTTAGCATTCACAATAGTGGAGTTGACAACGACTGAAGCAGCCAAAACATTATCCGAAAATAGCGCATAATGGAAGAGATCAGGATTTTCCCTATTTTCGCCTCTAGGGAACTTTCTTTTTTCAGGAGGAAGGAGGTAATAGTCAATGGTCAAACGCATGGATAAGCAGTGGATCCCATTAGGTATGGTCTTTGCCGCTAATTGGCTCAAAAAAGTGCTCTGCCTCTTCAAACCTCTGACTTGCTCATCAGCAGATTGCAGCATTGCTCTCAGTTTCGTTGTCACAAGCTTGCAGTCATAGAGCTGCTCTCTAGCTTTAGATAGCACCTGGCCCATAGATTTCATTTTCTCATGTGCACTATTGAACAGGGGAACATGAATGTGTTACTCTTCACTATATAGAGCGGAGACAAAAAGCAACGTGATCGAGCTTGCAAAAAAGTCAACAAAAATCACCTGCGTGTTAGATCAGCATCAGAGCCTGCATCACCTAATGCACGCTGACTTTCTTTAAGCCGAGTCTGTAACTCCTGGGCCAAGTCAAGCTTCTTCTTCATTGTAGCAATGCTTATGTACACCCTTGCCATAATCATTTGATCTCGCATCAAGCGTACTGTTGAATCAGTGTTCTCATTATCGTTTTCTTTCCTCCATATACTGTATTTCCCCAGCACAGAAGAGTCAACTGACTTGGAGCGCTCGATGGCAGCATTTTCAAGCTTCACAGTTACATCATCATCTCGTTTGAGTAAATCAGCAGCACGCTTTTCACGTTTTCTCTCTCGCAGTTGCTGCAGAGCAGGTTGGAAAGTTGTAGCTCAATTATTCATAGATGGAATGCAAGCAAGATCGTGAGGGGGAAGTATTCCGTGTGCAGTGAAGGATGAATTCAAAATAAAAAAATTTTATTTGCAGAAGTAAAAATAAATGTGAGTCTAAAACAGCTAATAACTATACATACCCTTCTGGCCAACTTAGCGGGTGAATCCACAAACTGGGAATTATCCCCTGGAAAATTAGAAAGTCCTTGATTATTCAAACGTGTATGATGCAACTAAAATTACTACCAAGATCTGTAACAAACCATTTACCCTTAACAGGATTATGCTGTTTGCCTCTGGTGATTTCTGGTTTGGAATCTGCAGCTATTGGACTTGGCTTATTTACCTGTGATACATCGAAAAAGAAACAAATCAGTATCTTGCTAGTCATGTGTTTTTTTTTTTTTTTTTTTTTTGGATGGGTTGCTCGTCACATGATTTTTCAGGACAGATATTTCAGTTACAACAAGCCAAGCTAAATCTTATTTAATCCTGACCTCTGCATCAGCTACATTGTGCTTATCCAAAATTTCTTGCCCGACAAATCTCCATGAGGCAGACAAATTGTTCTTTCTAAAAGAATCAAGACTGAGAGGTCCTAAATCATCTGTACTGGCTTTAATGATATCAATCACCTAAAGGTATGCACAATGAGTAAGAAATCATCATCACTGTAGACCAAAGGAGAATGCTAAACTTAAAAACAGAACTTGAAAAATTGATAACTTGCCTCTTTTGTTAGTAAGGGTTTTATTTGTTGCAGAGCAAGCCTCTCTCTCCAGTCTAAATCCTGCAGCAGAGTGAAAATTTTCCTTATTCAACTACATTCAGCAGCCTGGAATTCTAATACATGGGTACAATATAGCAAAGCCTGATACCTGTTTACTTGAAGTGGTGGAAACATCATTATGATCTGCAAAAGCACAATAACTTGAGTTATAACAACTTACACAACCGCAGGGAGGATAATATGTGAAACAACTGTGGCAGTCATAACAATTACAGCATGTGTATTTCAACCCACAAATATAATAGTGAATACCCACTTGAAACAGCCATTTATGCAGCCGTGACCTCAGCTTTCCCACTCATAAGACACCAATTGACGACAACCAAACTAGTACAGGCTAGTGGCTAACTCAAGCTGTCCAACAACAACCCTACTTACTCCTTCCAGCAAAAAAATTGTATGTGACCTACTTTCTTAATTTTAATTCAAGGAGTCCAATGAAATAGTTTTTAGATTCTTAATATTCTGAGATACCATTAGTAGTTAGAAATATCTGCCATTTAGTTTCTCAATGTCAAACAGTTACGGTAAAAGTATAACAAATATGTATTTGATATGATTTTAGAGAATGTTAGAGTCAACCACCTATCTACCTAGCCTTGAGAAATGGATAAATGAGAAAGTTAACCACTTAAACTAAACTAGTGACCAGAAACAGAGTGCATAGCAGAATGAAGACCTAGAAAATTGAGCTAAAATACACAAACAGTGTATCGATGCAATAGCAAATCAGGTAGTGTATTTAGTCTCTGCTGAGATTTGAAACCTGGTCTCCTGAGGTTTGCGCCCACTTCATAGACCACTAGGCCACACTCTTCGGTGCAAGAACCTCTAGCTTTTGAGAACTAGATTTATCTTACAACACAAATTATTAATAATTGGAACCAAAGGGCCCCCAAGAAAACAGAATGGATATAGATGATTCATTAGCCAATCCAAACTAGATTGGAATCGAGACATAATTGTTATTATCGATACATCACACTCAATTAGTATCAACAGAGTTGAATAAAACACAATGTTCAGTAGTGAGATAAGCACTAAAATGGCAGACAAACAAAACCCAGAAATATAATTACAATAGCTTCAATGAGAGAATATAAAACTAACCAATTGAGGTGTAGAGGCCACGGCCGACAAAGAAAATCAAAGGAGCAAGGAATGAACAGAAGATTAGAACCAAAATAGGGAAGCTGCTAGATCTAGTGCTTCTGTTCCTTTGGCTGCCTCCTAAACCTGATGATCCCCTCTTCAATGCCATATCCTGAGTTCACATACATTCATTCAATCCCCCGCAAAATAAGAATAAAATAAATAGGTAAGAGCGGCATAAAATAAGCAGTGTCAAAAAATTTCAACAAAACAACAATGACCCATGAAAATAAAGAAGGAATATAAAGAGAAGGGAGATTACATAGGGACTCTTTCAAGATAGTTCTGTCTCTTGCTAACAAAAGTTCGTTACGAAGAAAAACAATCTGAAGAATAAATGAAAGAGTGGGTCTATGGGGGTTGGCTCCTGAAATCAAAATGTGACTGGTGGCGTGATGGATCAAAAAGGAAGAAGGGTACCCGAAAAAGAGGAGAAGAAGAAGAAGAAGAAGAAGAAAGAGATCTGAGAAATTCGCAGTCTGAGGAAGATAAAAAATGTACCCAACTCTTTTGTTTTTTTTTTCTCTTTCTTCTCTCTCTTTCAATTTCTGATTTTTTTTTCTGGTTTAAGAAATAGTGGTAAGTGGAGATTAACGACGTCGTTCTTTCGCCGACACGGACCACACTATGTAGCTTTTGATAAGCCATAGACTTATTAACCATTATTAGTGAATAGATAAATGGAGTAGTAATAATTTGTAATATCTCCTCTTATTTAATATCCCTTGCTTATCCGTTAGATGAATGAATGTATTATGGGAAGAAATTTAAAAATAGTCAGATATACAAGTGGTCGTTCAAAAATAGCCTAGTTTTAAAAGTAATCGAAATTTAGCCACTTTTCATGTAAAGATAAATCTGAACGAAAACACTGTTCAAAATCCGGAAAATACGTCAGTATATTATGCTGGAGTTCCAGCATAAGCATACTTGAACTCCAGTATATTATGCTGGAGTTCCAGCATAAGTATACTTGAACTCCAGCATATTATACTGGAGTTCCAGGATAAGTATGCTGGAACTCCAGCATAATAGATGGAGTTCCAGCATAAGTACACTAGAACTCCAGCATAATATACTGGAGTTCCAGCAAAGTATACTGGTCCAGTATAATATGCTGGAAGTTCATACACAAGTGCTCGAATCTCCAGTATATTATGCTGGAACTTTTCGTGTGTTGGAATTCCAGCATAATATGCTGGAAGTTCATACACAGGTGCACCGAACTCCAGTATATTATGCTGGACCGGTCTCTGTTGCAGCAAAATAGTGGCTATTTTTCATTGACTTGGTAAACGCTGACTATTTTTGAATGACCAGTCCGAAAACTGGCTAGACCGTGCTATTTTTACTGTATTATGGTCTCGATTCTAGTTCTATGAAATTAACAACTATCTTTATTAACTCAAAAAAATTCCATATCACTTTTATACTCACTAACTCAATATTTTTCATTTTATTAAGTTTCCCATCTAATTGCAAAAGAGTACTCCTTCTGTTACATTATTGATCACGCCCAACTATGCCTTATAAAAAGGACTAAGCGGACGTTGCAAATATAACCAGAGTATTACGCCCGGGGTCGAATCCACAGAGAGTTAACCTATCAACTACTATCTTCAGACTCACTAATTCTTCAGAACCAGCTTCCCAAATGTTCAAATCTCAGTTGAGTATTCTTTAACGACTAGCTTGCAAGTAACTAAATAGTTGTAAACTAAACTAATGAGGTTGTAAACAATTACGAGGAAAAACTAAGGCAATGATTTCCCCTATTGATGGAATCCCATCTGTTTATGCTCATACAAATTTACCCACACATCTCTATCAATCATAAACGCTAATCTTACCGCAAATCTATCCCGAGTAATCACAGTAATTTACTATTGCACTCTCCCGAGATACACTAGCTTACTTTATTTAGCACGATTCACTTTAGATTACACCCAAGGCTTCGTTATCCCTAATTCCGCCTTTAAACCCGCAATTATAGATTCCTCTAATAATCTAGGAGTGGTGTTGTTCAACAATAACATAAATATGCACTCTTTTCCAAGTTATGCACACTAAATAGGCACAGCTAATTGAGGATCCTGTCAATTAACTACAACGAACACGAAGTTGAACAAATAGAAATTAAACTGGCAATTTGTATTCACATAAACAAGAATTTCATCACCCAATATGTTCCATCAAAACCTTAGACAAGGAATTTAGCTACTCATGGCTATGGGAACATAAACTAAGATTGAATTCATCATAAAATCAAAAGAAAAGAAGAAAGATGTTTAGAGTACTCTCTCACAATGGTTTTCCTTACTAAGAAACCTTAAAAATCAATACATGCCTCTCTTGGGCGAAGTCTAATGTTTTAAATAGGGTTTAGGTCTAAAAATCCCGTAATTGACACTTTGGTCCTTGAAGTGTCTGCGCCTGCCGCGGTTCTGCCGCGGTCGCGGTAGAACCGCGGCCGAACACCCTCGCGGAATCCTTGAAATTCTACAGCTGCTTTCCACCGCGGTTCTGCCGCGGTTGCGGTGGAACCGCGGTGGACCCAGTGCTCTGAATCTTCGGCCTGTTTTGCATGGTTCACTTGGGAAATTTCACAGTTGGCCTCTTTTTCATCAATTTTAACTCCAAAACTGCTCCTTAGCCTTCCTTATACATATATCACCTGCAAATCATGAAAAGCACTAATAAGAGCATTTTGTTATCACTTTTAGCATTAAAACTACACAAGAAGGTGATTATTTAAGGTGTGATTATAGTCAAATTCACCTATTATCAACTATATACCACAATAGTTGATTGCATACTGAATTTAACAAATAAAAAATTTAGTACATAGCAACTTATAATTTTAAGTATGTCATGATTTTTATGGATATAAGAGTATGTCACTAAATGTAAAATAAAATTTTTAAATTTTAATAAATTAAATATAAAAATAACATATTTTTTTTTAGAATAGATTAAAAAAGAAAAAATATCGTATAAAATAGGACAAATTGTAACGACAACCCAAAATTTCACAAATGATGTCTGGGGAAGATAATGTGTACGCAAATCTTATTATTACCTTGTAAAAGTAAAAATAAGTGGTGACAAAATGATTAAAAGAAAATAATTAACCACTCATATTATCCACTAAAAATTGGGTTGGATAATGAACGTTATAAAAACGGGTCAAATATATATTAGAACCATATTATATATTTAGAAAATAGATAACCAATGGATAACTATTGAGTTTAACTTTTACACTTGTAAAACCTTAAATTGGAGGTTCCTCAAGTTTGGGAGAATAGAAATTCTCCCAAAAGTAATCATATTCAAGAAGCCATGGATAATATAATTACTCATACTATCCGCCGGTTAACTTGTTTTTATCTGTATTATATATGAGTCGGGTCGGATAATCTATCCGTTTTCAACCCGTCTAATAAAAATGTTGTTTCAGATAGACCCTTCGCTCCAGGAACAAAATAAAAAAATTGATTTGAGTAATATAATAAACTATGAGATTTACTTAAGAATTTGTGCTTTTGACGGAATAAAGACACGAACAATGAAATTGCTGTCTAACCCTTCGTTGAAGGGGGCACATTTTCAATTGTGAGCACAAAAAGAGTACTAGTATATGACGAAGTCCAATGTCACCATTGGCCAAGTCAGGAGCATTCTTGCTAGCAGACATAATCTAACGTAACAATGGAGTTGATTCCACATTGGGATGAGATGAGCAGACAAATATGGTTATTTGAATTTTTTTTAGCATATTTCTCGGTTAATTCATCGGATACCTGTTATCTTCCACAGTATTGTACCACGTAAGAAAAATCACCTATTGTAATATCTTTGCTGGAAATTGAACACTGGTCTTCAATGGGGTATCACCCATTTGATTGATCATTAGAACAAATCCTTAGATACTTGTTACTTTAACCATCTTGCAGATATAAACGAATACAAGATATAGGTCTGGAATGCATCGACACTCTGGATTTGATGTTAATTTTACAGAAAAAGGTAGCATTGCCCAAGCATATAAGAACTAATGCATAAGCGGGGCTATGCATATCAAGGACAGGGAAGTTTAAGAAAAGGAACACCAAGTATACTACAAGGCTAGATGGTTCTATTTTTACTGCGGGTAGTCTTACAGGTCACTGGAACGTGATAGCCACATCCAAGTAATCTCCAATCTGCAGGGGTTAGATACAAGTCAGAATCCCATATTCAATTGATGCTACAATCTAAACAAACTCAGTGCAGTTCAATGGATACTTCACCATTGCCTATAAGAAAAAAATATATTGAACAAAGTTTACCTGAAATTTTAGTTCACTCAAGCTTTTGCTGCCACTATCGGGTCGTCTCCCATTTGGATAAGAGTACGTTCTACCCACCTTCACAGCAAATAGAAAACCCGAATTAGGCCAGTAATAGCTTTTTTTGGATGTGATTAGGCAGGAATCAGCTTGAACGCACTCACGGTTAATAAAAGGAATGGTCAGCGGAGTACGGATTACAGACATAGTTATAAGTTATAACATCCAACACCCTATATTAAGACAGAACGTTCCACCACCCCAGAACTCTATAGGATGGAACACTTCAACTACCTGCGGATTATTCCAAATCCCAGAACTTCCTAGTTTTCCTTCATTTTGTCTTCTGAAATAAATTAAGATTATACGGGAAATTCGAAATGGCATCATACTGAAATGATTATCAGCTAACTAATTGATTGATTGATGGATTGATATAGTTCTATTCATTACAAAAGCTGAAGTATGAAGATGAAGGAACCAACACAAACTCATTTTCACCATGTTTTTTTTAGATAAACTCATTTTCACCATGTTTTGCCATAATTGTTTCAATATCATCTGCCTATATCTTTGGTGATAATATCCTCATTAATCTAGTTCAAGCAGGATTTAAGAGTCAAGAGATATGAACTGCATTTCGAAATGGAGACTCATTACAGCTTAAAGAAAGTTAGAGGAAAAATGTGACAACCAAAAACTCTTATATAATCCTCCCAGAAGATACAAAAAGCCAGATGATAGCTTGCAGCAATTTTTCAAGTTCTCGCACATTAGCAATCGAAGTTGGTTGGCAAAAGCTAGAGTAGAAATGTGTAAGTAAAGAAATATTTAACAGCTCCAAATCAGCAGACAAAGGTAAATTGAACGTGGAAGACAAACAAGGCAAGTTCAAATAGCACTGAACTGAGACATTATCACATATACTAGACTCGAAGTCCATGGAAACTGAAAGGTGGACACTCTATATACCAACATTTTAGTTAATAGAGTGAGTATCCCCTCCTTTAGTTCTGTAGCCTCATTTTTCATCTGGTAGAATGTAAATATTAGTATATCATAATCGGATAATGACATCTTACACTAAAAATGGAAATGGTCAATAGACACAGGGTAAGATGCACATCATCAATTTCAAAAAACAAGCCGCACCATTGATCGTTTCTCAATGCCTAAAAGTAGGTGCACAACACCCCCCCCCCCTCTCCCCACCCCCCATCCAAAGGAGCAATGAGGTTACATTAACACATATATAAGAGATGGGAGACAGACCTCTCTAACCACAAACCGCCCTCGTTTATCAGGATACACAAAAGCAAATGACAAACTTGCATCTCTTCGTCTTGCTTCTGGAGCAACCTCTTTAACCTGCCAAACAGTTAAATGAATGGATGTAACATAAATAACTTAAACATTTCCTACAAAGGAAAGTGGGTCACAAAGGAAGGTGAAGAAAGTTGCAGCACAACCACTAAGGCAAACACTAAGAGATATCCACTATATTGCTGCTTTTTGGTTGGCAATCTGAGTAATCTGATACGTCTAAGTCTGATATACAATGTAGAATACTACTACGTTGTGAAGAAAGAAAAAGTCTGACCTAACTTATTCAATTTTTGGAGAAAATCAGATTTGACAAGCTCAACACCAACTGCTCTTAACTGTCATATTTGAGATTCTGATATTCCAACTCATATCACCTCAATGAAGTTAGGACCCAAAATGGGTTGTCCAAACTATTTTGAAAAAAAATGGGTTGTTGGCAGTTTTTTCCTGCGATATACATTAAAAATTAATAAATTCCGGACGGAGCCGGCTAACGGCCTTTAAGGCCTAGTTAACTGTATATGCAGTTTTTTGTGCGATATAGTAGTTTGGACAACCCATTTCTGTTTTTAGCTAGTTTTTTGGCCCATTTTGGGTCCAAAATACTCCTATGTTCAATCATATTTTGGAAGTCAACTGATTAGATTCAAAATTCAAATATGGTTATCTTGTGCAGGAGGTAACTCATCACTTCACAAAATCCAAGCCTAGCTCATTCTTCTAGACAATTATTGGATTGGTAATGCCTACAAGTCAATGTCCCAGGAGGAAGATTGCGAAAGTTTGCAACAATGTGATAATATCTTGAAGCACAACTTTCTGATGCATAGTCAAGGAATTAACACACTGATAGGGAAATAAGAAAGTAAAGTCTAAATTAGGAGATCAGAGGAAAAGCATATTATAGTTATCTTTTCATACCAGATCAGTTAATTCACGCAGAGCAGCATCCATCCATGTATAGATCTGGACCTCATCTTTAGGTTCCTTGCCTCTCACGGCAAAATCATTATCACTATGATGGCCTCCAATCTGCAAGTTTCGAAGCAAATGTCCGCTAGGTTATTGTTGATAGGGTATTTTATATCAAATACTTCATTTCTTCTGATAAGGTAATAATTTATCTCAAGTACTTTCATAATTGAATCTAAGAAGGAAGAAGCCAAAAAATATGAGAACAGGTAACCTTTATGGTAATAGTAAAACAGTACACAATATGCCAATAAATTGTAAGATCATGTACAGATGCTTTTGTAGATAGAACTAGTGTTCTCAAAGGCGAAAAGCTCTACAAAGCGCTCTAGGTTTATTGGGGCTTTAAGCTCAAAGTGCAATTGAAGTGTGGGCTTTAGTAGAAAAGGCGCAATGAAGGGAATAAAATATATATATATATATATATATATATATATATATATATATATAATTTCAGAAAAAGTAACAAATTCATTCTTAATGTTTTCCTCAACAACTAATACACTTATGTGCCGATTATATTTGTTGTTTAGTACTGGTCCATTCAAGATAGAACTCACGGGCAATGAGTGCCCACGCCTTAGTGCATTCCCTACACCGAAGCATAGCTTAAGCGAGGCGAAACACCATCCGCAGCTTTTATGAGCTTCAGGGCTTATGCGTGCCTTAAATGAGCCGATGACAACACTGGAGAGTACAAGAGCCTACGAAAATGCAAAACCTAAGAAATAAAACTTATTGCTTTAAACATTTGTTAATACTACTGAAAATCCGAATAAAGAAAGATTATACAGAACTTTGGCAGAGTGCATACCTTGGTGAAAACGCGAAGCAAGAGTGGACAAGTCTGGTGTTGGGATAGAAACCAAAAAAAAAAAAAAAGCAAAAGATTTCTTTAGTAACTAATAGTACGCAAAAAAAGAGAGGATGTTTTTCAGAAATTGAACAGCACATAGGAATAAGATGCCGATTATGCTAGCATATTAATACAAGAAGAAAAATTAGAGGTACTCTAAAATAAAATTTAACGTATAATTAAGGATATCAAAAAAGAAGAAGCATTATTTCTAAAACCTAGAGATAATACAAAGTACCCTTGAAAGTTTTACAGGGAANAGAAGAGGAGGACCTTTTCACGGGTCAACGGGTTGGACCCGAGGGCCCATTCTGAGGGGAGGAGGACCCGGTGGGACTCTCGCCGGAGGTGGAGGTAACGGTCTTCCCCTTCTCTGCACTTCCGCCATTGCTCTCCGTTTTCTTGATCTGTTTTACTGCACCAGAAGCACAATGAGCTACTACTAGCAATTTTACTCGTTTTTGCTTTTCGGGCCACTCCGTTACTCTCATCCTATGTTTATGGGCTCTAATTTAGATGGCAAAACCAAAACTAATGGGCCTCATAATTGGGCCAATTGTAAATTAAAAAGGGACTTTTTCGTTCATATACATTATTTGAAACCTTATTACCAAAAATGTCCAAGTTTCTGTATATACCTGACCTAACACGTTTTAGCTACAAAATATATACAATCCATCTTAAAAGACTCCCAATCCATTATTAGTGCCTTCAATAAGGGATTTAGTTATACATTTTTTCTTTTTTCTCTCCTCTCTCCCCTCTTCTCCCGGAACTTATATTTAGGGATTTCTGTTTGCTAATTGTTTCGGTCTTTTTTTTTTATCCTTAAAAAAAACCCATATCTTCTCGCTGTCAGTTTGACACATATGCTAAATGTGGACGTCCTGATGAAGCTGCCAATGTCTTTAATGAACTCAAAGTACATGACATTGTCTTGCTTAATTCTATGATTACCATTTATTTTAATTCCAACAGAATTGAAGAGGCGAGGAAGTTATTTGAGTCAATGCCCTATAATAAGAGCTTAATATCTTAGAACTCCATGTTTATAGGTCTTAGTCAAACTGGTTGTCCAATTGAAGCACTGGATTTTTTTTCCGCAGGATGAATAGGATGCATTTTGGGATGGACAAATTTATTTTTCAAGTGTGATCAGTGCCTGTGCAAGCATTACATCAGTTGAACTTGGTGAGCAGATTTTTGCAAGAGCTATTATCATCGGCATTGAGTGTGATCAAATAATCTCTACCTCTTTTAATTGGTCTTTTGATTTATACATAGTAATTATATGTTATACAACTTATTTACAATTTATCAACTTTCATATATTATTTCTACCCAGTTAAATACAACTACCACATCATATAACTTAAATATAATTTTTATAAAAACTTTATACAACATGTCTTTTGTATATTTTGTATCTGATTTATACATACTAAAAACAAATTTCATACAACTAATTATATATTATACAACTTATTTATAACTTATCTACAATTTTCATACATTATTTCTACCAAATTATATACAACTACAATATCATATAACTTCAATATAATTTTTATACAAATTTTATACAATATGTCTTTGTATATTTTTGTATCTGATTTGTATATATTATGTTTGTGGTGTGTGCTTCTTTCTTTCTAAAATTCAAATCAAAACTTACGCTCTTAATACAATTTTGATACATATCAATAATTTTATGTAAAAAGATTGTATTGATAACTTAAATACAAATTTTATACAACGATTCATAAATTATACAACTATTGTACAACTTTCAACATTGAAATAAAAAAAATATATAGCTACAACATAATACATTTTACGTACAATTATACTATAACTTTACTACAGTTTCGTAAGTATATTGTATGTCATGTCTTCTTCTTCTTCTTCAACGAGTTTCAATTTAAAGTTCAGCCAAAATCAAGTCTAATCTTCACCAAACACCCTCAAAAGTGAGATATAAACTCTAAACAATATTCCCAATTGTTTGCAACAACACCCAATCCAAACAAATAATGATTTTTGAAAATCCAAATTCGAATTCAAAGCTTCAAAGCTTTTTAATTGTTGTCAATGGTGGAGAGTCAAACACCTTCAAAATTTAGTGATTGAAATTTCAATTTGAACACCGATTGTGCAACATGAAAGAAAATTGCTAACTTAAAACGATTGAAATCCATTGATGAATTCCATTAATTATAACTCTATACAACAAGAAAGCATAAAAAACAGAGAACATCAAATAAAGAAAAATTAGAAGAATGCTAATTAGGCAAATTATAATTATTAGGATCTAAACTATAGTACTTTACGAAAATTTCTCATTAAAGTATAGAGCTTTTGAGGAAAATCATTTGTTTGCATCAAATCAGTTTATTTATTTTTAGTAGGAGTATAGCTCAAAATTGAGAATAGGTTAATGTTTTTTCTATACCAAAATGCTTGTCAGTACTCTTTGCTTTCCCTCTTAAAATACATGTTTGTTCGTCATTTTGATTTCACTACTCCAAATTACAAGTTATACATACTTTCATGTCATTTATATGTAATGATGATGTACAATAAAAATCAAATTACGTGTTTCTCTCACATGCCATAATCCTTGAATTCTTGTTGCTATTTCTTTATTCTATTTTTAAGATTCAAAGCTACGGACTATTAAGAAATGTGTTTTTGTTTGTAACATTCCAAATCTTCTCATTTAAAGTGGATTTATTTTCTTTAGGAAATTCACTGGTTTTGAGTGAAGCTTTTTCTAATATTATTATATTACTAGACTATAGTATAAAATTACAGATTGTATTTTGGTTTTATTTTTTCTAACATATTAGCCAGTACGTTGTGCGGGTATCATATGAGTTTAAATTTAGAGCTAAATCTTAGGTAAAAAAACTAATTTAGAAGAATTAACTCAAATAACTGTCCCCCTAATCTCTTCAACGTACTAACCATTGTTTACATAAAAATATAATAATTTATCATAGTTAAGTGATTTTTTAGGTACAAATATGTATTAATTAACTATGATTAAGCGACATAAGTCTATTTACAAACACATATCATGCACCTATTGGTTTGGTGTAGCACTTGGTACGGGTAAGTATTTACCCAAATCTTTTTTTTTTTTTATAACTTTTCTAGACACTATTTAGAAGAGTATTGGAGAAGGAATAAATATTCTGAACTAATTACTTTATTTTTTATTTCAAATAATCATTGACTTCTTCAACAACATCTTTTTACAACAAAAGAAAAAAGAAAAGGAGAAAATCCAAAGCAAAAAAAAAAAAAGGTACAAGTGCTTGTGCTGTCGGTGTTTGCAAATAAAAAAGACAAGCAGGAAAATACATGTTATAAACCTTTTTTATATTCCTTATTTTTCCTATGTTTGTGTAACAGGAGCTGTGCCTGTGTGTATGTGCAAAGACCCTAATCTAGACCAGCAACATGGAGTTTGTCCCAGGAGGATAAGCATTCAATAAAAAACCTAATTCGACTTGTCCATCTCAAACCTTATTCAATGCAAATTGCAGGTTAATTTCACATTTGATGAAATTTAACTTTGATCGATTTAACCTTTAAGATTTTACTGCTGAATTTATTGCGCTTTTAAAACTATGAATAAAGAATTTAATATTCGTAGATATTTCTAAAAACTTTATACATATATACAATCATACATTTCTATAACAACCGCTTTCTGCAACAATTCACTATAGTAAACAAGTTTTCTTTAGAACCGATTTTATGACTTTGCTACTATACATCCTTAATTCGATGACTAAAACGATTTACCAAATTTCATAATGTGTGTGTGTGTGAGAGAGAGAGAGAGGAGAAAGTTTAGAACTCATTTTTTAAACTGTCACCTGATTTAATCAGCATTTTTATGAACTCAATTTTGTTTAATTAATTGTAGTCTTAATTAATGACACTATAGTTTCATCGTACATTAGAAAAATTGGTCCCCTTCCTATCCACATGGCTGCATTGGCCATGGAAAGCTCATGCCACAAAAGATGCTTCAACGGTACTATTGCTGATTTTAAGAAAGCTTCATAAATTCACAAAAAGTTATGAGATTTTCTTCACTGTTAAACCATTTTAATTAAACCAAGATATTTGATAAACGAAATTAAATATTGGAATTAAGGTTTTAATTACTCTTCTTCAATTCTGTCGTCGTAAAAGGAAAAAGGTAATTGAAGGACTGATTCTAGTTGAGAACGTTAACAATTTAAAAGATAAATATACCACTATTCTAATCGTCGACAAATAAAACAGTAACTTGATGATTGAATTAATTATTTACCGTAGGAGAGTGTGGTAATTGACTTGTGAAACTATTAAATTTGGTCCCCATTAGATGATGAAGACTTAAAGAAAGAGTACAAAAATTAAATTGGGCTCCCATGTTGAAAGCTCAGCTGCTAAAGAAGGCTTGGTAAGAAATGGAAATAGGACATTGAAATGTTAGCCCTCCAACTATTAAAACCTTCTTTAAATGGAAAAATCTAACCACCACCACAGCCTACAAACCTAGCAACTTGCCTCCTCTATATATCTTACTATTATTACTTATAAAAAGGCTCTATATTTGACTTTAATCTAGACTAAGGGGCCGTTAGGCCATACAAACTTTTCTACTTTTCTTTTTTTAAAATCAGTGTTTGGCCATAAAATTTTCAATTTTCACTTGAAAACGAATTTTGGAATTTTTTGAAAAAAACTTTAAAAGGCTGTTTTTCAGAATTTTCACTTCAAATCACTCATAAAAATTCAAAAACAGCCCAAAATTGTATTCATGTCCAAACACAACTCTAGCTTTCAAATATCATTTTCACTTGAATTTTTTTTTCTCCACTTTTTTCCGGGATTTTACAATTCTTATGTCCAAATGCTCACTAAGTATGGATTTATAACTTTAAAATGAAGGTGGATACAAATTATGTTGAACGTCCAATTTTTTTTTTTTTTTTTTTATCGCAAAAATAATCTTTCTTAGTTTACCTCAGCACACAAAGAATATCTAAAGAAAAGATATTATTGCCTTACTTTAATGCCAAACCAATCCTTGCTGCAACATTGCCATTTCAACAATATATTCTCCTATTTTGGCAACCCTCTGTAGTTAATTCTTTTTGGTTGGCTGTGTTTGTTTATGGGCTTTTGATGAAATGATAAAGGAGTTATTCAGAGTCATACCAATTCTGTTAAACCTTCTTCAAGGGTTCTGGAATGAGCATGTGATTTTGTACTACAAAGTTGCTTTCCCCACTCAAAGATGTTACATATGCCACAAATTCAAAGCCATGTATAAAATGGGATGGTTTTGGAAAAAGAGTTGGTGGCTCTACAATATGTCAAAACTCTAAGGGGCTCTCTCATAACATTAAGGATGTGTTTGGTATTTAGAAAATATTTTTCTGAAAAATAAGTAGTTT